TGGCCAGCGGCAAAGCTGACCGGCGGCAACCCTACCCAAAGAGGGACAGATAGGGACTGACCATAACGACGACGACGACGACGACGAAGACGACGACGACGACGACGAGCGAAAGCGAGAGCGAGAGCGAGAGCGGGGCCAGGAAGGGCAGTGATGGGGCCACGAAGGACAGCGAGGGGGCCACGAACGGCGACAGCGGGGCCACGAAGGGCATGCGTATGGGGCCACGAAGGGCACGAACGAGCGGGGACCACGAAGGGCAGATAATGCGGGTCCACAGAAGGCAACGACGGGGCCACTGAGGGTAGCAACGAGGCCACGAAGGGCAGCGAGGGGGCCACAAAGGGCGACAGCGGGGCCACGAAGGGCATGCATGTGGGGCCACGACGGGCGCGAAAGAGCAGGAGCCACGACGGGCATACGTATATTGGACCGCAGAGGGCAAGGACGGGGCCGCTGAGGGCAGCAACGGGGCCACGAAGGGCGACAGCGGGGCCACGAAGGGCCGCGAGGGGGCCACGAGGAGCTGCGAACGAGCGGAGGCCACAAAGGGCACACATATATGGGGCCACGAAGGGCAGCGAGGGGGCCACGAAGGGCTGCAACGGGGCCACGAAGAGCAGCGAGGGGGCCACGAAGGGGAACGAGGGGGCCACGAAGGGCTGCAACGGGGCCACGAATGGCAGCAAGCGGGCCACGAAAGGCAGCGAGCGGGCCACGAAGGCCTGCAACAGGGCCACAAAAGGGGGAACGAGGGGGCCACGCAGGGCTGCAACGGGGCCACGAAAGGCAGCGAGGGGGCCACGAAGGGCTGCAACGGGGCCACGAAGGGCAGCGAGGGGGCCACTGAGGGCTGCAACGGGGCCACGAAGGGCCGCGAGGGGGCCACGAAGGGCTGCAACGGGGCCACAAAGAGCAGCGAGGGGGCCACGAAGTGCTGCAACGGGGCCACACAAAAGGGAACGAGGGGGCCACGAAGGGCTGCAACGGGGCCACGAAAGGCAGCGAGGGGGCCACGAAGGGCTGCAACGGGGCCACGAAGGGCATACGTATATTGGACCGCAGAGGGCAAGGACGGGGCCACTGAGGGCTGCAACGGCGTCACGAAGGGCAGCGAGGGGGCCACGAAGGGCAACAGCGGGGCCACGAGGGGCAGCAAGGGGGCCACGAAAAGCTCCAACGGGGCCACGAAGGGCAGCGAGGGGGCCACGAAGGACTGCAACGTGGCCACGAAGGTCAACGAGATCCCGTGTCCTAAATAAGCTGTGGGGGAGTCCTAAGCGTGAGCGCGGGAAATTCCAACGCAAGAGCGCGATTCCTGCATAAAGTACAAGCGACTCTAGAGCGCCGAGAAAGCGATTCCTGAATAAAGTGTAAGGAACTTCCAAGAGAGAGCGCGATTCCTGAGCAAAGACGTCCCAGGCGGGAGCGGGGTCCTGGCGAATGTGTGAGGAAGTCTCAAGCGGGAGGAGCCGTTGCTGTTGTAATCAAGGGGCCAGGGACGCAGTTTGAGCTGAGCGACTTTCCTTGATAAAAAAGTGCGAGCCCCAGGGGATGCACTTCGATTGAAAAAAACAATGGTCACCGGAGGGGGATCAATCATACTTTTTCTTCAATCATGAAAATTCAACAACAACAACAACAACAACAACAACAACAACAACAACAACAACAACAACAACAACAACAGCAGCAGCAACAACAACAACAACAACAACAACAACGACAACGACGACGACGACGACGACGACGACAACAACAACAACAACCAACAACAACAACAACAACAACAACAACAACAACAACAACAACAACAACAACAACAACAACAACAACAACAACAACGACAACGCCGACGACGACGACGACGACGACGACGACGACGACGACGACGACGACGACGACGACAACAACAACAACAACAACAACAACAACAACGACGACAACGACAACGACAACAACAACAACAACAACCGCAGCAACAACAACAATAAGAAGAAGAAGAAGGTTAAGACTATTCGCCCCTATCTGCACACATGGTGACCAATACGTATATCCCAAGCCCTCGGTACCCGCCCTCGTTGTCTTCAATCGTACCTCCTTGGGAGAATATCTTCCTTACCTGCCACGTGCATGTAGTGCATCCCCTAAAACAAGGGAAGAAAGGACGGGTGGAAGGAGGAGGGAGAAGAATGACGCACGAGAGAAATTCGCAGGAGGAGGGCAAGGAGCAGAAAGCAAGTGGTAGCACCAGACGGGCAGATCGGGTGGGCAGACCCATAGTGGGCAGGTCGGGAAGGCGGGCCCAAGCGACCAGGTCGAGCAGGCGGGTTGCTGATGCGTGGGTCCTGCATGAATCGCGAGAAAGTCTCGAGCGACACCGCGATTCCCAAGTAAATCGTGAGAAAAGCCTAGCGAGAGCGTGATTCCTGAGCGCCGAAGGCGCATCGTCTGAATAAAATGCGAGGAAGTCCCACGCGAGAGCGCGATGCGTATATGAATTGTGAGGACGTCCCGCGCGAGAGCGCGATTTGGGAATAAATTGTGAGGAAGTATCAGGCGGGAGCCACTGTTGTTGTAAACTGGGGGCCCAAGGGCCCAAGTTGAGCCCCGTGACTTTCCCTGATGAAAAAAGGGTGCAGGCCCCGGGGGAAGCACTTCAATTGAAAAAACAAAATGGTCACCGGAGGGGGAGATCAACTATAATAATTTCTCAGTGGTGAGAGTTCAACAACAACAACAACAACAACAACAACAACAACAACGACGACGACGACGACGACGACGACGACGACAACAACAACAACAACATCAACAACAACAACAACAGCAAGACCATCACCACCACAAACAACGACAATATAAAGAACAACAACAACAACAACAACAACATCATCATCATCATCATCATCAGCAGCAGCATAATCCACAGTATCATCATCATCACCACCATCATCGTCCTGCTTCTTCGTCCTCCACCTTCTCGTTCTCCCTACTCGCTCCCCTTCGTCCCCCTCACCATTATCCCTATCCCCCTCATCCTCCTCCCTCTCCTTCTCAGCATCCTCATCCTCACCATCCTCCTTCTCATTATCCTCCTTTCCTCATCCCCATCTTCATCGTCATTAGCATCACCACCACCACCACCCATCACCATCTTCTTCATCATCAGCAGCATGAGCATCACCACCATCATCACCACCATCACCATCAGCAGCATCAGCAGCAGCATCATCAGCAGCATTATCATTAGCATCCTCGTCATCGCCATCCTGATCACCAGAATCGGCAACATCATCGTCATCACCAGCATCACCATCATCATCATCATCATCATCATCATCATCAGCATCATCATAAGAATCATCATCATTTTTAGCATCATCATCATCATCATCGTCATCATCAGCAGCATCCGCAGCAGCAGTTGCACCATCATCCACATAATCATCATCAGCATCATCATCTTCATCACCATCGTCAGCATCATCATCAGCAGCAGCATCATCAGCATCAGCATCAGCATCATCATCGTCGTCATCGCTTTCATCCCACCATAGCATCATCCGTGCCGCGTTGTCCTCGGAATCACCACCTCACAACCCATCCAACGATCGACGTCTGAGTAAATTATTATACGGGGAGAGCGCGAATAACCCCATCACCCATCGCAGGCCCTCAACGGTCATAGGAAGCACAGCATGGTCTGATTCAGCCATGGGAGAGGGCCTCGCTTGAGCAAGGATACTTGCGTTGGCTTCATTCCCGAAATCGTCCTCTAACTGATCGGAAACTGGACTGCCTCGAGTATAGGAATCGCCACGACCGCAAGGATACACAAAACGGGGCCCTCTGATTTCACGACACTGGAAACAAACTACACGTGCTCACTGACTCGGGGGCGTTTTGAAAGGGCCTGCATAGAAGGGGTCGGGGCACCACACGGTGCAGAAGCCTCCTAAGGGTCCCTGAGAGACCTGGCGCACGGCAGGCAACGCCAGCGAGCCCCGTCCCACCGAAGAGAGGGGCCCCTGGAGGGGAAAATCTGGCGCGGAGCTCTGGGGATGCGATCCAAGAGACCACGCAAGTCACGGGCAAAAGGTCATGACGGCAATAGAACAGTCGTCGCCTGGATAACAGGGATGAACTTAACTCGCTGGGGTGTCAACCGAGATGTTGGAGTAAGTACGGTACAAACTTTCGAACACTTCTAGCCTCCAGCCGAATATCCAGCTGCAACCTGACGGAGCGGTGCGGCGAGAGGGAAGCACACAAATCCACCACCTCGAGGACATCCGACATCCTCTTGCCCCCCCATTCACCAACCTCCCTTTCCCGAGGGACAACGTTGGGGGGGACTGGCTCAAGGGGGCGGGGGGGAGAACATCGACCTGGAATCGGCGATACATCGCCGATAGATCGGCGATAGGCCCACGATAGCGAAACCGCACGCTCCTGGGCGAGGTAAGCTACCAGGCCCGCATCAGCAATGCACGGGCCGTTGAACGTCGATGCTTTCCCCCCTGAGCCTACCCCCCCCACAGACGTTGCCCCTCATTCCCCCTTCCCTCCGTCGCCATGTCATGGGGAGCGCGGGATGCGATTTACTCCGGCGGCGGCGCTGACGCGCACACTGTACAGTGCCCCACACCGAAGATCTGTCGGCGACTCCGAAGGGTGCGGTCTGCAAAGGGTGTGGTTTGCAAACGGCACCCTGGGGGACACCCTGGGGGGCGGGCGAGGGCCTCGACGGAGCTCTCCGCCGCGCTCCGAGGAGCCCCGACGAGGACGGTGTCGTGGTCCGCAGGCCCCACCGGTGCCGACCGCAAGCCACACCCCAGCGTGACCATACCTTTTTGTAGCCGCCGACTGGGAGGAGACGGCGGCCCAGACAGCCCGCAGGCCGCCCCGGGCAGGCCCGAGAGCAGGCGGAGGGTCGGGGGACATCGCAGGGGGCGGCGGCGACGGGGTCTGAGGCCCAGAGTGCGGGCGTGGCTCTCTCAGAACTTCCGCTTGCCCTTGCCCTTGCCCTTGCCCTTGCCCTTTCCACCCTTCGAGCCTGCCGTGGATGGGGGGGGCTGAGGACTCAGGACTCGGGTATCCGCGAGACACTCCCATGCGGGGATCAATGCTGGGGGTGTCCACAACGCTGAGGCGCGATGCAGACGAGGGGGGGGAAGAGGGGGAGGAGGAGGCGGTGGTGGTCACTGCACAATGTGTGTTGTATAAGATACAATGAATTTTTCGGGCCTCCACCTCTCACCCCTTCCCCCCCCCCGACCTTTACCTTGGACATCGGGGGGGGGCGGGGAGCAGCAGATGCGCCGTCTGTATAACGTGTTATGCATGTGTTCTCCGTCTCAAGTTCTTTGGGGCTCAAGCGTTCATGCCCATTTCGCTTGAGCTCGAGTCAGTGGGCTCGACTTCTCCATCCCGCGCGGGCAGTGCGATATCTTCTGCTGGCTCGTCCTGGGAGCTGGTGGGCTCTGAGTGCGGGGAGCTCCCTTTGTTCCTTGCGGGGCAGGCGCCGTGCCTGCCAGAGGGCGGGGGTCGAATCCTCGCGACGGCGCGCTGCGGCGGGCCGCTCCTGGTGTTCCTCTGGACGCTCGTGACCGTGGTCCGTGACCCGCCGAGTCCTGAGGAGGATCCGCTGGAGGGTGAGGACTTCACGCCGGAGCGGGTGATGCCAGTGGAGGTATGGAGCAGGCGCTACTATCGCCGGAGCGCGACGGATGGCCAGGAGATTTTCTTAGTTCGACGGAAGACTGGGAATTGCTGGGCGGCCTTGCTGCCCGATCTTTCCATGGGTACCATCACGATCACTGCGAAGACGACTGTCTTCTCCGATCCCGTGCCCGGGATCCGCTGGCAAGCGCTGCCGGCACTCACTCAGGTGCAGAAGAACAGCTTCATGCAGCAAGCTACGGACGGGCTGCGAGCGGGTACTATTCCAGCGCTGGAGTTGTATCGACCGGGCCGTCAGGCCCAGCAGGCCGTCGCCATCAACGTGGTCTATGCTATGGCCAGCTCGGCACGCTCTTCACTGCGTACGCTGCGGTGGGCATTGCGCTCGCCGTACCGTGTGCTGGGGCTGCTGGCGCTGGGCTTCGTGCTGTTCGAAGCTCTGAAGTACCTGGGGGTGGTGGATATGATCGTGGAGACTTGGCTCGCGTTTGTGAGCTGGATGGTGGCCTGCCGGGACGCGCTCATCGAGTCGTCCGAGACGATCCAGGAGTGGGTGTCCTACGGAGGCGAGTGGGTGGACTGGGCTCGGAAGCTCATGCCGCTGCGTCGCTGGGCTGCTCTGCTGCTGGCGCTCATCCTGCTCATGTTCTGGGGTGCCCACGAGATGCAGGAAGGGGAGGAGGCTGGTCACTCATCGGTGGCTTCGTCCTCTGCATCGTCCGTGGTCGGAGACGTCGGAGGGGCCGCTGTCGTGGGGCCTCCCTTGCCGCCACCTTCGGCGTCTCCCCATCCCGTCGCGGCTGCCCCCGACGCAGCCCTCGTGGCCCAGTTGGACGACTTAGCCGAGTCTCAGAGGGCGATGGCCGCGGAGCTGAACGAGATCAGGATTGCCGAGCGGGCTCGGGAGCTGAGGCGGTCGGCGATGGTGTCCTCGAGCGCGGACCGTGGTGCCGAAGTGGCTGCTGCCAACCAGCTGCAGATCCAGTCCATGCTGAGCCGGCTCGACGAGTTCGAGGCTCGCCTGCAGGGAGGTGCGGGGGCGGGATCTCCTGCGGCAGCGGCGGGACCCTCTCCTGCTACGCCTGTGGGCACAGGGGACGGTCCCACATCGCCGGCCCGCGGGGACGCGACGGTGCCCATGGAGACTCCCGACAAGCGTGCTGCTACAGAGCCCGCCGAGGCGGTGTCCTTGGCCATCAAGCGGATGAGGTTCAAGGCTCAGATGCCGCAGCAGGTCTTCCTGGAGCAGCTGGAGGACTTCAAGGAGTGCCCGGCCTCGGAGTGGGCGACGAAGATGCCGGAGGGCTACAGGGAGAGGATCGCGCCGGACGTGCTCTCGGAGGTCTACTCGACCGGGAAGACGGCGGAGGCTTGGGCGAGGGACTACATCAGGGACCGTGGTCTCACCGACTGCAACACCGCGCGGGAGATGATTGCGACCTTCGCGGCCGTGGACACGATGCTCATGACGGACCGCCAGAAGGGGCTCTTGAACCAGGTGAGCTTCGAGAGGCTGGTCCGCAAGGGGTACGCGTTGGTGAGGGCCTACCGCAACGTGCACTGCCGGGACGACTGGAGCAGGCCCAAGGACGCCAAGAGCTGGAAGTCCAAGGTCGACTGGGAGGCGGCGCGTCGCTTGGACCCGCAGCTGGCCGACGAGAGCACGATCAGGGTCATGAGTGCCGAGGAGGAGGTGAAGAAGGCAATGGGTCGAGATGCGCAGCTGATCAAGGCACGCACGGACCTAGACGGCGGGGGTGCGAGCCCGCCGTGAGCCCCGGAGAACGCCACACGGGGCTGACTGGCGAAGGTCCGCCAGGAGCCCCTGCACGCGATCGGCCCCGTCATCGTGGCTGGTCAACTTTTCTCTTCTACTTCGGGTTTTCGAGTCTGTGGGACTTCGGCAAGAGCGTCGGGTTCCAGCAGGTGATCTACTGCACGACGAATTGGGTTATTCATGTCGAGGAGGCGGGACATCCTGTCGGAGGTGGTGCTCTTTCCACGACCGGAGAGGCCAACGTCGAGCTCACGGCGGGTACTTTCACGTTGGCGGGAGGAGGTGGACATTGCGCAGCGGGCCAATCGTTGCTTGCTGGGACTCCGCCAACTTTATCGTGGGACGTTGGGCGACGAGCTCTTGCATCCTGGGGAGATCTGGGGTCAAGGCCCACTGCCCAGCACCATGGACGGGGACCTCTCGAGGCGTGTGCTGGAGGAGGTACGTCGCCTACCACCGCCTCCCTCGACGCCCGAGCGAGGAGCCGCAATCTTGCGGCTGCGACCCGCCGCTTCGGCGGCGGAGAACCAATCCCGGTCGACCTATACCCAACGGTTGGCCGAGCTGCGGAGGAGGTGTGCTGGTGGACAGGTACGACTGCCAGACCGGGGCGAAACGTTTCCCGCCCATTGGGAGCGGGTCGCTCTTCCCCCTCCGGGCTCAATGCCGGTGAGTGCGAGGTCTGTGTCGCCGAGAGTGGCTCAGATGTTGGACGATTTCGAGAGGGAGATGCTGAAGGAGGATGGCGAGGAGTGCGTCAGGGCCGCGGAGGTGAAGAATTACGTGGACCCGCACTTCCGCCGCAAGAAGGACATGCTGATGCTGGCCCGGCGCATGGCTCTGGCTGGTATGTTGTGCCGCTGCGAGTCAAAGGTGGACGAGGTCGGGCTCTTCTGTGTGGTGAAGAAGGCCGAGATCGTGGACGGCGAGCCCCTGGTGTCATTGCGTTTGGTCTTCGACCAGCGGCGTTCCAACCTACGATGGCGGGCTCCGCCGTGGTGTGCCATGGGCGGTGTCAGTGCCATGTCGTTCTTGGACGTGTCAGAGGAGATGACGGACGAGGGCGCTCGAATGGTTTTTGGTACTGGCGACCTCCCCGACTTCTACTACACGTTGGACCTGGGCGAGGCGATCGCGCCCTACTTCGTGCTGCCTGGTGTCCGGGCTTCGGAGCTGCTCGACGTTCTCCCCTCGGACGCCCGCCTGAGCGGGTCGGGCGAGCACGTTGGTGTGCGGGTGGCGCTGATGGGTTTCTCGTGGGCCTGCTGCATGGCTCAGACGACTATGGAGGACCTGTTCAACTCTGGTCCCTCCGTGGGCATGCCCGCCCTGGCCGAGGAGCAGCGTCTGGCAGAAGGCGGTCCGCTGCCCCTGATCAGTCGGGAGGTACCTGCGGCTCACTACGAGTACATCGACGACTTCGGCATCATCGGGGTGGACTACCCTCCCGTCGCCGACGCCGAGCCGCCCACGCAGGTCAGGGACATCTGGTTGGGAGCCAAGTACCTGGTGAACGCCGCGGGTTTCAACGTGCACAAGGACGACTGCTCGGGACAGGCTCGGATGATCGGTGGAGACTTCGTGGGCACACGCCTCGCCCCGAACCAGGACAAGATGTGGCTGGCCGTGGCCGGGGTGAGCGAGATCCTCAGGCAGAGGTCGGAGTTCCCGGACGCGGTGGCCAAGATCGTGGGCATCCTGTCCTGGGGCTTTCTGATCACTCGAGGGGCCCTGAGCGTTTTCTCGGAGGTCTACCACTGGTGCATGGAGTTCCGAGGGGGCTCTCGCCGTCGGCTACCCGACGAGGTCCTTCGCGAGCTGGCCGTGGCAGCGGCTGTGGTGCCGCTGGCGTCTGTCGACCTGGCCATGCCCTGGGACCCCACGGTGACGATGTTCGACGCGAGCCTCTACGGGGGGGCCATTATCTCAGCCCAGGCCGACATCCAGGAGATGCGTCGAGAGGCACGCTTTGCTGTCAGAGGAGGGTGGACCGTCTGGACTGGCATCTCGTCTTCCTGGGCGGCGGACTCTTGGGCAGAAGGCGAGGCGCATCGGCGAGTCGCCGAGGGAGTCGAGCTCGGGATGCGCGTGAGGGTACCTCCGGTGCACGCTTGCTGGGACGACATGTCGAGGTGGAAGGAGGTGGTCCGCTGGCGCTGGGACGAGAAGGAGCACATCAACCTTCTGGAGATGAGGACGGGTCTGGCGGCGGTGAGGCACTCCGCTCGGTCGCGTGCGAGCTGGGGTCGCCGTCACCTTCGCATCACCGACTCCATGGTGTGCCTGGGCGGCTTCAGCAAGGGCAGGTCGGCCAGCAAGCCGATCCTCATCCTGTGCCGCCGGATGGCCGCGATCGACCTGGGTTGCGGCATGAGGGAGCACTGGCGTTGGGTGCCGTCCGACCGCAACCACAGCGACGGCCCCAGCCGGGGCTTCCCGATCGGGCAGGCGCCGAAGGAGCGACTGCAGGGCGAGACCGTGCTGCCCGCCGAGACGGGGCAGGTGATCGAGGAGTTGGCGGACATCGCGGAGGAGGATCCCTTCGCGCCGCTGCGGCTGGGCCGGTCCGTGAGGGTGAAGGTGCTGCGCTTCTTTCA